CACAGACGGGCGCCACGTCACAGACGGGCCTGACGGAGTTGAGGTCCAGCCGCATGCCAGCCAGGACGGGGAGCTCCGCAGAGTCCACTTGGATGAGGAACTCGAAGGACGGGGCATCACAGAAATGGTGAACAGAAGGCAGTTTCCCGGGGTGACAGGAAGGGGCGGTAGACCGAATCTTAGCGACAGAAGATGAAACCGTTCTGGAGAACTACTGGGCAACGCCATGAGCAAACATCAGAGCACCGAGCTCCAGACTCACGCTGCCGCGCCTCTATGCCTTAGAGCAAATCCGGAGCGAACACTTCACAGCCCCACAGACGACTGCTCCTGATTTCATAAGTCATCCCTACAAAACCAGGGCAGATCCTTCGTGCCCGCCTCACCCTGTGGGAAAACTACCGGGGGAAGCTTCACTTCCTTTTCCTTTCCCCTCAGAAAATCCACATTAGTTTGCAACTACTGGGGCTTTAGTTGATGCAATGTGAAATATCTAAAGATATTTCAAAAGTCTGTTTCCATGGACTTTATTGTCCCAAAGAAAATATATATCTCCCTCATCTATTGTAATTATGTGAATGCTTCCCAACTTTTTTTATCATCTGTATATTATAAAGAAAACAAAAACCTGTATTCAACAACATTTTTTTCACTTTTTTTTCCATGAAGTTTATTGGTACATTTAAAGCAAACAATACAGTTACATTCGTTATTGTCTTGTACCTTCACATGATATATCTTGATATATCTTTTAACCCATACCTCTGCCCTCCCTTCACCCACTTCACTCTCCCCTATTTACAGAGACTTTGTTTCCATTTTTTCACATCTTTTCTTTCCCCTTATTTCCTTTCCCCTCCCCTTCCCACTTCCCCTTTAGCCATTTTCTTCCTAGTTCACACTCCCAATTATACCATTTGAACCTCATTTACACTTTGTTTTTCACACCAGAGAAACTATTTGGTATTTACTCAAACGTGTCTTATTAATTTCACTAAAAAGTATAGCCTCAATGTGCATTCATTTAGCTATATTTCTGGTTTCTCATTCTTTATGGCTGAGTAGTATTCCATTTTATAGAAAAACCACAGCTTCTTTATCCAGTCTCCAGTTGATGAACATTTGGGTTGTTTCCAAGTTCAGCAAAGTTATTTTTAAATGGCTGAATACATTCCATTCTAAACAGGCTAAGTGGCTGTGGGGGGGCAGTGCACTCGTGTGTGAAGTTCCCCCCAAAAACACATGGAGAGCAGTAGGAAGTGCACTCAGGACTAACCGGGGGTGCACAGGAAGACAGAGGAAGGCCCGCCCAGCAACAAGTCCACTATTTCTGTATTACATTCCTAGAAGAATAAGCTCAGTGTTTCACAGAAATTCTCAGAACCATAAGTCCACATTACTACTTTTTTGTTTTATGTGAGACAAGGTCTTGCCATGCAGTTCAACTGGCCCAGTGCGGGGATCACAGGTGTGCAACACCACACCCAGCCACAGCCACATGGTGAAATCTCAGTAAGATATAAACAGCTAGGTTTTAAAATATTAACTTTCGAAAAGTTCACTTGAAACATGATGCTGACCGCAGCATGAGGAGCAGAGGGCAGCTGTTACTACTGTACAGTAGGTCTCAACTCACAAACACTTGAGACGTGGCCTTTCACAGGGTTTGTGTAAGACTCACTTTGTCAGACTTGGGAACAAATCCAACTTCTCTGAGAATGGACCTCGTTTGTAAGTCAGGGACTTTCTGTATTTCTTTGGCTTATTAATATAATCAACCTGCTTTGAGGATGGGGTCTACCTTCACTTTAAATCTTACTTAAAAAGGACTGTATTTCTGTCTAGACCTTGTCAGCTGAGGGCATCAGGTGCCTCTGTAAGTTCTTCCTGATAGAAACACTCAAATGAAAGAGCTAATCATAGTCCCCTAAGAGAGGTATAAGGATAAAGGTAGAACTGTCAAGTGTTCCAAGAGTCTTTTTACCCCTTACCAATCTAAAATCTCCCAGAGAACTGCCACGCAATGAAGACAAAATGCCAGTCATCTAAAGATGTTTAAACTATTCTAGTAGCTGGGCTGGACCTGGGACTTCATGCATGCAAGCCTGGCTTCACCCCCACCACCCTAAAAAATAATATATATATATATTTAGTAGCCATTCAATTAAGTAAAAGAATCAACAATTCTCTAAAGAGCGATGGAAGATGCCTGACGTCGGCAGTCATCAGAGAAAGGCAAATCAAAATGAGACGGCGTCCTCCACACCCAGTATGACTACAGTTCAAAAACAGAAAACAGCAGTGCTGACAAGAGTGTGGGGGATGCTGGGAAGAAACTGGCCCCTCGCACACAGCTGCGGAGGATATGAACTGTGCCGCTTCTGTGGGACAGTCTGTCGTTTCTCAACAGGTAGGCGCTGAGTTACAGTCCTCCTCCCAGAAATGAAGACACATCACACCAAACCTGTCCTCAAACATGCACAGCAAAGCCGCTCATGATGGTCACAACAGCAGGAATGGCCTGCAGGCCACCAACAGACAGACGGGGCACTTTCTGCCACAGGGCCACAGCTCCAAGTGGTAGCTGTTCAGTGACAGGGCCCCAGGATGTGGCCCTCACAGGCAGTATCAGAGGAGGGATGAGGCCATGTGGGTAGCCCATGAAGACACTGTAAGTGCCTCTCTCAGAAGAGCGGAGAGGCCAGGCATGGTGACACACACCTGGAATCCCAGCTATGAGGCTTAAACCTAGCCGAACCCACTCTTTTTTTTTTGTTTTGGGGATCAAACTTATGACCTTGTGCTTGCAAGGCAGGCACGGTGCCACTGAGCTCAATCCCTGGCTCTTCAAAACCACTCAAAGTAAAAAAAAAGAAGGCCAGGGATTGAGCTCAGTGGTTCCTCTGCCTGTCTTGCAAACACAAGGACCTGAGTTCAATCCCTGGTACCAGAAAAAAATAAATAAATAAAAAATAAGAAGGGCTGGGGCTGTAGCTCTGTGGTAGAGCATCCACAGATTCAACCGCCAGCACCACAAAGCAAAACACACACACACACACACACACACACACACACACGCGCGCGCGCGCGAGTGTGAACACCACAAGAACAAGATGGACCCAAAAGAACCACTCGCTGTGTTCGCCATGTGATGCCCTTGCCAGGCTAAAACGCAGCAAGGAAGCCCTGACTGGATGTAGGCGCAATGCTCTCGGACTTCCCAGGCTCCAGAACTGTGAGCTAAATACACTGCTGATCTATAAATCACACAGGCGGAAGTGTTTTGTTATCACAATGGAGAACAGCCCAACTCCAACCACAGAAAAACAAGACGGCCCTGAATACGAAACACGCGCTGTATTTGTCAGCCTCGGCCCTCACATGCAGCTTCACGGGCGCGACAGAGCCTTCTGGTGTACAGGACTTGGTGCTTCCTATGGTCTCCTAAGGCCCAGAACAACACCTACGCCTGCCCTTCCCTCCTGGGAGATGCAGCCTGGGTGACGGCAGCAGTGAAGGACACTGTGTGAGTGTTACATGCTTTGCAAATTCTCCTGCAAGTGTGTTTTCAACATGGGAGGTAAATTACTTGAGCTTAATTAAAAAGCTGTCTTTGAAGGTTAAGTCCAGTCAGCAAGCTGGAGAATTTACAAGTCAGTATGACAGAGTCTTCTGGGACAAGCCCTTTCTTCCCCAGGGAAGAACCTGACTGGCCTTCATTCTGCCTCCGTTCAGACTGCCCCACTGTCGCCAGCCCATCTGTCCCAGACCTACCCGTCCGC